GAACTAATGTTGAGAGCTCTGCAGACAGTTAGGTTTCACTTTCAGTTTCACCCGAGAGCCTGCAGGAGTCATGGGGGGCTCTGCCATGAGGAAGTTCGGCTTAAAGACACGTCCCAGGGGTGTTTCTGGTCCCCACCTGTCATTTTGCTCCTCAGCATGGCTTCCTAAAAACACTGCAGGATTTCTCAAACATGCATGAATGAGTCAGAGCAAGGCTTTGGGCATGTTTTTTTATGAGAGTATAACATTGTAACATGATATAAAACTCAAAAAAGTTGATTTTACATGATACAGCCCCTTTAAAGTTGTGATTGGTCAAATTATAAATCTTCAAAAAAATTCTGAAGTATTGTAACTTACTATACATCTCTGATGTATACATTACCTAAATATAAATAAAATGAATGCATAAAGAATTTAGACAGCAAGATACATTTTATTGAAACATGCGTGACTGTGATAAATACCTATTTAGTAAAAAAAAACTTCATACATGTAAAACACACACTCTATAAGTGCACAGTATCATGTGTCTGTCTGCCTCCTCCCTCCTTCCCTTGACAGCTAACACACCCTTCCAGTATAATCAATGGGGAGTGGTGCTGGAAGGGGCGGCCACTGCAGTTCTCCCTGTCTGTGATTCGCTGACATGAGCTCTAATTGGATCAAGTGAAAACTTGCTTAGCTGGATGCTTTGTGCTGGGATTGGGAGCAGCCTGCAAACCCAGAGGAAGTGAGGCAGAGAGGGAGGAGGCCAGAGACTGCTGTGTGGAGCGAAAAGATTATGATAGGAGGAGTGAGGGAAGAGGAAGGAGAGAAAAAAAAGGGGGAGTATCCAGTCTCCTCTCACTCTGCTGTGTGCTGCTGCAGCCCCCCTCCCTCCCTTTATGACTCTTTCTTTCGCTTTTCCCCTTACTCATCTGTTTCTGTGGCTGCACTGAGAAGAAGGACACCTGCCGCTCCCTGATGATTCAGCTTTCAGCTGCTTGGAGCACTTTAAGACAAGATAGCATGTCCCTCCTGCCACTGCAGTGCTCGTCCATCCTGTCCTTGACGATACAGTTGCTGCAGCCGGCCCGTCACATCGAACACCGCCCCTTCTCTGCCTCCTGCCTGAGTGTTCAGGTGAGTCAGTGCTACTTTCCTACCACTGCGCACGACTATACCACAGAAAACGTGGAAAGAGTGCTTTGATCTGACAAGCTTTTCTGCCTGCAGATAATTTGACAACTGTAGAACCCCACAGTTGTGTTTTTTTAATTATTTTTTACAGGAAACATGTGTAAAGAACTCCTTGGAGACACGCTTTCCACATACCTCCTGAACTGCTGTCAAGCTCCCACTCTCTGAAGGGCAAATTTTTTTCTTTTGCCGTCCTCTGACATCGCTGCTCCGACTCTGCAGCCTTGTGTTGGAGGACATGGACACCGGTGGCAGACAGCAGCCGTGTGATGCTCTGTTTTAATAGTTGATGCTTTTCAGTAAGACTTACCCAGCAGTTCAAAAGGATGACTGAGGGAGTGGAGGACATCTCTGCAGGGCCAGCTCCCTCTCCAGGAACAGCCTCCCCCACTGGCTCTCCTCTCGATTCTGGACCAGTCCCAGAGGAGAAACCAGAGGAGACGGAGGCAGCTGGTGAGAGCAGGGATGAGAGTGTAAAGGGAATTACAGAGGAAGACAGTGGTGCTGCTGATGGGGAGCAGGACAGAGCTTTGGGAATCGTGGCCTTGCCGGCGACCTGCTGCGTGTGCATAGAGATGGAACAGATTAACCATTGCCTGCACTCTGAAAAAATCTGCATTCTGCCCATCCTGGCCTGCCTACTCAGCTTAGCCCTCTGCACAGCTGGACTCAAATGGGTCTTCGTGGATAAGATCTTTGAATACGAACCCCCCACCCACTTAGATCCCAAACCCATCGGACAGGATCCTATTTTGATATCATATAACCCCACACTAGGCATCACTGTCTCGATTCCTCATTCAGCTGCCTCCACTGTCTCCCTCACCACAACCATCGCCATTACCCCAGGAGGCTCCGATGTGTTCGTGAACGAGAAATCTACAGCTGGGCCGTTTGCGCCTCAGACTCCAACATATCCTTCTGTCACGCTCAAGTACAATGCAGAACGATCTACAGTTACAAAGCAGAGTCCCCGCCCACAAACAACACAAGAGCCGAACAAGATCATCCAAACCCTCTGTAAGTATCTAACAATGTCTTCCAAGAGATAATTCTATCCAAACATTTTTATTATTGTCTTGTACGTTAACAAAGTACAAGAATGAGACAATGTGGATACAAGCTAATCTCAAGACGTCGTTTATTCCTGATTGAAAACCTTTGAAAATGTTTTCTTCCCTATTCAGATAGAGAGATTTGGTCATTTATTCATTAAGATAAGAATAATAAAGCAGGTTGGTGGCTTTAGTGCTGTGAAAGTGTTCAGAGGCAGCTCTTTGATCTGTTGCTGTCTTCTCTCAGCTGTTAGAGGAAACTTCTGAATACAGACACGTTGGGACTCGCATTGTGTACCATACAGGCTTTTGACTTGGCCCTCTTACAATTGCTTCACAAGTCGGCATGCAGGAAATAACCAATGTGCAAGTTCTAACATTTACTCCTAACTGTTTGCTTACAAACATCCCAACATTTTAACCCAGGGTAAATAAATGCAGTTCAAGGAGGCTATAAAGAAGGATTTATTTATTTATTTTTTGAGGAAGCAGTTTGTCACTGAGTGGAACGACTCAGACGTTTCCAACGTGACAGAAGAAAATAAACAATGAATTTATAATTCTAATATGATGACAGGCCTATGCACCTTTCTGTTTCGTTGCTTTTATTGGTAATTTTCAATAATTAACTTTGGTGATAAAGTAATACTTAAAATGCATTTATAGGAAGTACTTATTGGCATAAGAAAAATTCCTTTAGGGGAAGCGTGTCATGCATTTTTTGCATATTACAATTTTTTTAAACGTTTGAATTTTCACTACTGCAGTCTCATAATGCAGCAAAGCACAAGTGTGGTTGAAATGTCGTCCATGGATGCATGGACGCCTGACATTTTTACAATACAATATTTCTTTATATTCATAACACATTATATATACATTTTGTGTTTTGCTGTAGATTAAAAGTAATTAAAAGTAGTTCAAAGTAAATACAAAAACTGTAGAAAAGAGAGTTTTTAGAATACAATCAGAGCCAGAGGCTTCATAAATGACTTCTCTGTGCGTTTTTGTTACATTTTTGGACCATCTTTGGTAAAGTCACCTAGCCTCTGGTGGTTTATCACTGTGGAGGCAGAATATCAGGGTTGAGAGTGGACCACTGGGGGTGTATGGTGGTAGCATATCCATGATGTGGGGTTCATGTGCACCTAAGGAATCTGAAAAAAGAAATACTGGTCACACAGGCCTCATGTCGGTAGGTGAGACTGTGATTGTGACAAGGTCATAAAAACAGCCTAGTGCTGATGATACTGCGCCTAACTGTGGTGAGAGAGAATAGTGCAACTGCAGTGATATAGAGGGTAGTGAGGGTCTTTGCAGAAAATATTAAGGACATATTTGGTGAATAATACAGAGCGTTGCAGTACTGTGGTTGTCTTTTTACATTTGCTGCAGTCCAGCCATGTTCTAACGGGTTGTGGAGAGAGTAGCAAGGTTGCCTTCCAGTGTGAAGGGGACCTTGGCGTTAAGCTAGTGTCTCACTGAGCTGTGACTCCCAGAGTTGACAACTCAAATTATGAGAAAATAGGAAGATTTTCCAAAGCAGTCTTACGGTTATGTGACCAAGCAACTAGTAAGGCTAGGTTTTGAGCTTCTGCCTGTTTTCATGTACGCAGCTCGCAAAATTGTATTTTAAGCTATGCGCATTATTTTTTTGTCCTCCTCCACCCACATGCTACTTGCCTCAGCCAGCTTTGTACAAACTTGCAAGCCACCCTCATGTTTATGATTTAATCTACTGGAGTACACTTTTGAAATGAAGATTAGCAGAATTTGACCACTTTTAAATGATTATCATTAATAACTTGAATATTTGAGACTGCTGCCTTGAATGTTTTCTATCATTGGTGAGTTGCCAAAATGCAACTTTATAATTTTTATAAACTAAATCGAAAAGGGTTCAAGACACCTGTAACAATTTTTTTGATTATTTTAGAGTTTTTTTTCCACACAAAGCTGTTGAACGTGTTTAAAATTGTGACAAAAAGTGACAAAGCTGTGAGCAAAGTGAACAAAGTGAGTTACAAAGAATCCCCTAGTCACCAACAGTTCATTAACCTCATAGCATAATTGTCCAAGACATATTTGGTCACAAATGACAGGCATATATTCTATGAAGCTAACGAGTTGCAGCCTACAAATTGGCTTTAGGATTCGGGTTAGAATACCCAAATGTAGTGAAGTCAATACAAAGTCCTAATAAGAATAGAAATACAAACATGTATTCTTAACAGCTGTTTATTAGATGTTCAATGAACTTTATGGATGAATGGGTTGGACCCCCTTTAAGTAAAGCAACTTCCCTGATGTCATGTGGATCAGTGCTTTAAAGATTTTGTGTCCAAGCTTTAATCTCAAGACCTAATTTGATCTTTTGCAGTCAGTGGGTTTTCACTGTCTGCAAACATTGATTTTATGTTCATAACATGTCTTATACCTTACTTCCTGTGTGTTAGCTTCGTCACTTTGTTTCAGACTCGACGTGAACACGTTTATTTTTCTAGAGATGCACACAGACAAAATAAAACTGAAGACTCCAAAAAGAAAAAAAAATTCAGAAAAACATATGGTCAAGTTTTTGTTACTGAAAGTCTCACATCAGTGAAAATTTAGATCACAGACTTCATCCAATCACTAAGTCAAATGAGGTAAGAAGAACGCTTTCTGAATCCACATGATCAACATTAAGGAACATTTCTTTTAAACAAATTCTATTTTTCTATGTATTCTATTGAATTGGTCCCTAACCCTGGCCCTGGAGGCCCACTATATGATGTACCCTTGCTTTGACACACCTGATTTGTATAAAACAGGGATTAACAAAGTTCTGAAGAACCTGAAGAGCAGGGAAACAAGTAAAAAAGGCAGGATAGTGGACCTTGAGGACCAGGGTTAGGAAACACTGGTCTATTGGATTTACAGTGTGTAGCCTATTCATATTGCAATTATATTAACTACATTAACTATTATAATATATAATGTTTTAATGTTAGTCCCTCATTAAAAAAACACATCCAGAGGGTTGCTTTGACTCATTCATTCATTCCTCTGGTAGCCATGTGGAGCTGCCTAAACACTTGATGGTACAAAGCACCACCTATTTTACAAAGCCKCCCCCCCCCCACACACACACACAGAGCACCACTGCCTCGAAGCATGTGCTGAAGTGGGAGTGTTAGAAATGGTAGGAGGATCTTCAAGAGTCAGAAGTCAATTTCAAGGCATTTAGAAGGACAGTTTATTTTTGAAATGTACAAAATTTTCAGAACAACTGAAGTAGTCACTTGATTGTGATATAGAGTTGAACTATGTGCTTGAAAAATACGTTATGCCTCCCCTTTAAAACTATTATCATCTCTTACTTCTTGCAAACATAAAATGTAGTATAGACCACCCAACATGATTTTTGTTCATTACAAACAAGATAATGGTATTTGGACTGTGCTTTTCTATACAACCAGGATGCTCAAAGTGCTTTACACTACAGTTACTACACACATTCATTCAGCTCTCCAGATCTCTCTACAAAGATAATACAAGTAAATCAATCCATCACTCAGACATTGATGGAACACACATCAGAGACTGGGGGGGTTCAATGTCTTTCCCAGGGACACTTCGATGTGTCACAATAGTGGGGAATCACACCAGCAACTCTCGTATTAGAGGAAAAACTGCCCTAAATTGAGCCACAGCTGCTCAGTAATAATGAAAACAAGTTTTGATTTTTTTCTTTAATGCGTCGTTTCAAAAGTTTGTAACTTTGCTACCAGACATAAATTCAGCTCTTCACTGTAATTAAATGAAGACTGTTCTGTAAAAAAAAATCTTAGTTTTACTCTTATAGATGGTATCTGTGCGTGTGTATGCGTGCACAAAAAAACCCTCTCTATTTGCAAGTGCTGAACAGCCACTACACGACTGTAAGTAACGTGCAAGATCCCTGAAATGTGTGGATGAATATTTCTAGTCTAATAAATAAGTGAGGATCAATAAATGATGCATGACACAAACGGAAACCCAGGGCTCTGATACACAGAGACTTCCTGTTTTCTGCCCGTGCTCCATTTCAAGGTCAGAGAGGCTGGAAGCTAATTGATGCTCCCTCCTTTCCTGTGCCGCCAGGAAGAAAAAAAGAAAAACACAACCAGCCGGTATTACTGTCTGTCTGCCGGTGGCTCGCCACCATGACGTTTCTGTTGTGGTCACATCCCTGTGTGATTTATTATCTTGTGAGTGCTTTAGCTAATCTACCCTGATGGCAGCAGGAGTGGTTACTGTATGAGTCAGAGTCAGAGTGACTACATAAGGGTTTGACACAAAGAGACCACACATGTTTTTCTAAGAGTAAAGTGATCCAAGGCTAACTCGTATGAGACACTATTATTAAAAAGCCTCATGCAGGTGTTATTTTCTGTAAACGGGGGATCAAATGATAATATTCACAACACACTGGAAAAAGAGATTGATAATGCGCATGAGCACACGTACATTATGTTTTGCCCATATTTTTGTCATCATATTATTAGTTTGTTGTCAAATACCTGCATGTTGATCATGCTGCCCTTCAAGCTCAGCTTACTATTACAAAAAACACTTTTAAAACTGAGATTTTTTCTTATATTTGCACTTCTCTTCATAAAATTTAGTTTTTGTCATTGAAAAATTAGGTTTTTGATTACACTGATTATTTTTCCCCTTTATGAAATTTTCTTGATCTACATTAAGAAAACTGATGAAATACCTCATAATTGATTGTTGAATAGTTACTTTTACATGCAATTGCTCCTTTTAATATTTATATTCTATTATGTTTACCTATTTTATGCTCGAAAGAAAAGTAAGACCATGGCTATTTAGGATTTACCAGGTTTTTTCAGCAGCCTCCCCTTCCAACAGATCTAACTCACCACCAAGTGATGAACAGCAGACCCTCTCTTTACTCGAGGGGCCAAGACAAGAGGATTCAGGTCTGATGATATGATTGAAAAACTGATCATCAAATTTTGGCCTACTGTGGTCATGTACCAAGGACACTAGGGTTGGGCAAAATTGTATTGTACGCAACTAATCGTCAGTAAAACTGTTAACAATATTTTCCACTTTGCAATTACTGTCGTGTGATGATGACATATTTTTGTGTGTGAAACACTATCACTATGCATGTAAGCTCAATGATGGAAGGTGGTGTGGAGCAGCAAATACTAACCCTAACCCTACAAACTTGACTTGAAATATACTAAGTGTAAGGAAAACTAGAAAATGGCCACAATGTTGGATACATGCAACTGCAATTGGAATCAAAGACTTGTCATGTTAATCATCATTGGCTAAATGTCACAAATAATCATGATAAATTTTTATGTCAATATTGCCCAGCCCAATTATGGAGCACCTAATGCTTGAATGGGATGCTTGTTATAGACAGCCCATGCTTAGTGCAGAAGGTTAATAACAGAGCATCACTTGAATTCAGATCAGTCACCCCCTTTTATAACCTGGGCATTGAAGTCACCCAAGAGAAGAACAAAATCTCTACAGCATCACCTCTATGACACCGTCCAGAGACTCAAGGCCAATCAATCCAAACTTTAAAGGGGCAATATCATGTGTTTCTCAGGCATATATTTAAATACTATACCATAATAAAGTATCTATGTCACCTTTAGTTGTTATTAAAATGCTGTTTTTATGTTTAAATAGAAAATAAACTTCTCATCACTTCCTCTTCTAAACGCCTTGAAATTGGCCTCTGTCACCACCTTCCGCTTCTGTCTCACCCATTTCAGTGAGGGAGGGGGGGCTGCCATGATGGAGTTTACTTGTCATCTGAAAATATATTTCCTCAAAGGTATTTTTAATCTGAAAAGAGCTTCACTGAGTGAGAACTGGTGTTAAGAGCACAACAGACAGTTTCAGTTTCACTTTCAGTTTCACCCGAGAGCCTGCAGGAGTCATGGGCGGGGTGTGTGGGGGGGGGGGCGCTCTGCCATGAGAAAGTTTGGCTTAAAGACACGTCCCAGGGGAGTTTCTGGTCCCCACCTGTCGTTTTGCTCCTCAGCATGGCTTCCTAAAAACGCTGCAGGATTTCTTAAACATGCATGAATGAGTCAAAGCAAGGCTTTGGGCATGTTTTTTTTATGAGAGTATAACATTATAACATGATATAAAACTCAAAGTTGATTTTACCTGATATTGCCCCTTTAAAGATACATGAGCACAAACAACAATTAGAACCTTCCTTCATGTAACTCAGTGCCTAAGGTGACCCTCTTGTTTACTGGGGAAAACTTCAACATCATGGCACTCAGCCAGGAACTTAAATTATCCTCACGCCCATCCATCACCTCTTCCTCATAAACAACTCCAGATTAGAAAAGCATCCATTACCTCTCTGTGAGTTGGGCCCCAAAGTCCAAGCTGTAGAGGTGAGCCCAACTATATCTAGCTCTTGATATCACCAACAAGCTCCTGATCTTGACCTGCCAGTAAAGTGGCACATCCCTGGAACTGGTCTATGCCACCAGCAGTCGGCAAAACCAGGGATGCTGCCTTGCCTGCTGCCCATCTGGATCTGAGTGGTACTTCTCGCAGGTGGTGGTATCCTTTCCTTCTTTCAGGCTTGGCCCGGCCAAGCCCCAGGAGTCAAGACTTGACTATCAGGCACTGGCCACTGAGCTCCCCAACTAGACCTGGCTCTAAGAGATTGCCACAGTTTCCCTATTCCAGACAAGGTATCCTGATGTATTACACGTTTATTCATCAAGGTTTTTATTTTTTGTGTTCTCACCACTGCATCAAGGAGCAGCATTAGCTTTAAACCTGACTAACTTATTTAAGTTATGCAAATACTGTATAGATAGTTTTTCATTCTTAATCCTTGTTATGAGGGTGGATCAAGGTTTTAACTAATGTCAACAAAGCTTGATGAATCAGGGATGTTTTAAATGAGGATTTGTAGTGTTCAACCAGCTGATTATAATTCTCATTGTCTTGTTCTTTTGCTGCTTTTAATTTCAGATTTATATGTTTTTACACTCATATTTTAGCATCTTGATGTTTTTAAATGTATTTGTTGCCTGTTGAAGATGACAATGCACTTTAAAACATGGGTGTTAAAACATGGAAAATGTAATGTGATGTAAAAGCTGCTGTATTGATGAATGACCACTGGGAATTATTAAAAAAATATAAATCAGTGCATTAGATTCAATGACAATAAAAGAATAGAAATCAGTCCAATATAAATGAAAATGCATAAATCTGTAATTAATTAATATTAAAATTTGCCCCATTGTCTGAACAACTGTTTTATTAATTAACAGTTTTGTGCAACATAAGGACTCAGCTAGAGTAGAAAATGTTTAAATTGCCTTGTGTGTGTGTGTGTGTGTGTGTGTGTGTGTGTGTGTGTGTGTGTGTGTGTGTGCCTGCACTCCAGTGCATAGATCATAACAAGGAAGTACATAGATATCAGACACTTAGATCCCCTTCCTGTGTTTACTTCTGTCTGAAAGGCCACTTCAGGAGAATATGTATGCAGGAAGTGTTTAAAAGAGGCAGATTAAGATGATAATTAGTTCACTTAGTGTGAATATTTGTAGGTTTTTGGATCAATGAACCAAAGAGAAACATGTGAAAACAGTAGGGTGGTGAATCTGTGGTAGATATAATGCATATTACGATAGACTACATTTGTTGAAATTAAACAAGCAGTAATAAAAAATACCATGATTTGATGAACCAATCAAAGTACAATGTAATTCAATATAAGTTGGAATCAACAAAAGGAGAATCAATGCAAAACAATATTGTTTCATTGTTGTCCATTTTTAACAAAGGAGTAATTCTATAAAAGTGCAAAATGTGGTTTGCAAAAAATTGAACCATAGTGTACTTTGTTCATACTCATCTTTGACATTTGATGTGAACAAATCATTTAATGGTGTACTTTGCCACACTTTAGTTCAGTTTAGCTGGTAAGGAGCTGATCACTTTCTTTGTTCTGGTTTCTAACATTTCATTAAAAGAATATGATGGAAGAAAAGTCAGGGTCCAACCACTAGATAATCTTGCTCTGATTAACCTTTTTAAATACAGTAGATGCTTTATTGAATAAAAGTGTTTTGCTTTGACATTTTGGAGCAGTTTTCGACATGAAGCAATAATTACATTCTTAACTCCTAACTGAGCTTTGATGCTGACTTTTACTTTAAAAAAATATGTGCTACTTATTTGCTTGGGATTGTTTGAATGCAATAACCGTGGTTGTCTTTTTGCAGCTACCACCAGCACCTCCACTACTTCAAAGACCTCCAGTCATGTAATGCGATGCAGTGACAGCCAGAAGAACTACTGTGTTAACGGAGGGGAGTGTTTCACACTTGAAATCATGCCTGGCAGTACAAAGTTTCTATGCAGGTATGGTATGAACTTGTGCTTTTAATCAGTTATTTACATGTCCGAGTCTGGTATAGACTTTTTGATTAATGAAAGCTCATTTATGGTAAGTATTGCAGATAATAAATGATATCAAGGTCAAACATCCACAAACCAGAAAGAAGAGAATGTAATTAAAACTGCAAGCAGCTAAAGCAGTCGCTGGTCTATCTGTCAAGTTTTGTTAAGCACAGCTAAATACAACAGTGCGAAAAGGCCAGTTATGCACCAGCTTTGCTAAGCTGCTCCAGCCATGCCCTTTGTCAGCTGAGAACCATGAATATCTTCATGGCTTCTCAAAGTGTCCAAACTGTGAACAACTGTTTTGCAGCAACTAGGATAAAGGTTGTGTGTGGGTGATTTGTTTCAAACAGATATATTTGTGCTGACACTAGGACGGTGGTGAATTTTAAGACATTAACAAATGGCCATGTTCAGGACTTGATGCCAATGTATCATGTGCTGTTTTGCAAAGTTTGAACAATTAACCATGTTACCCACAAAGCCATGTTTGATATGAAAATGGGTAGACTCAAAAAGACAAAAAAATTGCCCACACCAATCGGATTAACCAAGAATTAATACATTTCGGGCACTGTGAAAAAGCTTTGGCCCAAATTTGAAGTCAATATGCTTCAAACTGAGCAAGTCGTGTGACAAGAGAAATTTTCATTTTTTGTTCAAAACGACTGTCTTTTTGTAGCTTTACAGTATGGTGTCACAAGACTATTTTGTAGGGCATGAACTGATTCACGGTGCAACAAATTTTGTAGGTGTCTAAAGTAGTCTGAGGAGCTGCCATCATGGTGCTAGAGAGCCAATTTGCAACAAGCACGTCTTTATTTTTGCACCTCTGCATCTTTTACAAGTTCTAAATATCTGCCAAGTTTCAAGAAGCTCGGCCCTCTAGAACATTATAAAAAATGCAGTTATGAACTTTTGTTGACATGTTTAAAGTTGCGTAGCTGCCCTGGCCACGCCGTTTAGCAGCTGCTATAGCGATTAATATTTTCTTGGTTTCTAAAAGGGTCTAAACTTCACACAGCATTTTTGAAGCTGCTAGGATTAAAGGTTTGAGTGGGAGATTTTTTTTTCAAACACAATAAGACATTTTTATATTGCCACTAGGTGGCACAGTGGTCAATTCAAAATATGTGTACATTGCTCATTTTTGCACAGTTTAAACAATTTGCAGGGATGCTACCCCGAACAGCATGTTCAAGTAGAAATGGGCGTATTAAAAAAAATCCAACACCTTTCAAATTACCCAACAATGTTTTATTAACTTTCTGTGCACCATCTTATCATGAAGTCAATATGCTTAAATTTGAGGACAAAATGGAATTTGGCGTGACGTGAGAATTGCCTAAATTTGTCATTTTTTCTAAATGGCCAACTTCCTGTAGATTTTAGTATACAGTACCAAGAGACTTTTTTTTTTGTACTGGACTGATGTACAGTACCTATGTACCAAATTTCATATGTGAAAGCCATAATAATAAGAGCTGATGTTTAGAGTGCAGTAGAAAGCCAGTTTGCCACGCCCACATCTGGATCTTTGTGCCTCCTCATTTTTACGTCTATACAACTGCCACATTTCATAAATCTCAGTTCACTAGAACATATTGAAAAAAAAAAACCTCCCGTCGGGAAGGAAAAAAAAAGATAATCAGGTCAAAAACAATAGGGCCTCCAGCTGCTTCACAGCACTCAGGCTCCAATAGTTCTCAAACACAGAGAACCACAATCTTCATAGATCACAAGTTTGGTTTGATTCTTCCTGCAAACAGATGGTTCTGATGTCTCATTTTTATTTTATAAACACTCTGAAAACAACAGTCAGTGCTTGTGAACATTCTATACCGACTGACATTTCTGATCTCTAATTTGTAAAAGCAGATGCCAACAGAAGTTACTCACAGCATTTTAGCACCATCCCCAAACATCAGGTGTGATATTAAAAGGTGAAAAAAGTTATTAAGAGTGATTCAACTAGTATTCATGAATTCAGTCAGAAATAGGATGTCAGGGCCTGCGTTATGTTCTTTGTTATTGTGCTGATGAAGATTTTCAGTCATTTATCCCATGATTAATCAAAAAAAAAGTAAGGTGTAAGGGATGCTCTTTTGTGGACCAAAATGTTCAGAGAAGACAGATTGTTTGAGAGGGAAGTGAAAGGAGCCATCAAACAAGAAAAAAATATTTTAAAAGTAGGTCTCAGATTTCAACTTTCAAAACCTTGGTGTGGCAATAAGCTTGATTCCCACTCAGTTTCACTTTAAAGAGTCCAATATACGCGTATGAAGGGCCAAACTGACATAAAAATAAAAGCAGAAATATATAAAAGACCCAATAAATAAATAAATAAATAAATAAATACAAAAACAAAATTTACCAATTAATTAAAAAATAGAACTTTACCTCATGTTTTATAGTTTTATGACCTTGGTGAGTAGCTTTAGTTTAATCTATGAATCTAAGCATTAATGAGGCTTCACATGAAGGCCTATAAAACATTTTGAATTGAGAAAGCTTCCTGGATGATAAGTGACATGTCTTCAGTTTCAGAATGAAAGTCCAGTTTTTTTATTTTTTATTTTTTGCTCCTGCTCGTCCATTCTCACCATTTGTCATTTCTGTTCTTTAATGTTGCCCTTTATACTTCAGTTCCTCCTGTGACTCCCTCGGTGGAACATTAAGTTTACTTTGGGTACCTCTCGATTTTTTGCAGTTCATTCAGGCTCCCTGTGTTTGTTCCTGATTTATTGCAAGTGGAGAGCTGGCTGCCTCGTCAGCATTTTCTTTCTTCTAGTTGAATAAACTCATCCATTCTTACCTGCAGTATTTGAGTCCTGCTTGCATGTGGGTTCTAACCACGAGTCCAGACTGCACTGACCTGACTTCAATGCAATTTTAAACACACACACACACACACACACCTGCAAACTTGTTTTTATATCCTTGTGGGGCCCGTCCATTAACTTCCATTCATTTTTTGGTAATTTTACATCCTAACCCTGACCATTTGCCCTAAAATTAACCTCACAGGTACCACCTGACCATAAAACTAACCTAAACTCAGTTCACATCTTGGTCCTAAACACGACCCTCACACCCAAAATCAGCCTCCGAAGTCTTGGGGACAGGGCTTTGGTCCCCACAAGGAGCATTCGGTCCCCACGAGGCTGCATTTTCCTGAAAAATCATCCCCAACAGTAATTTTCCCTTCTAAACCCAGCAAAAAGTTGATGCTGAGATACTGTTCATCAGTTTTTCTGTGAGTATAAGGTGGTGGAAACAAAAATCTGACGCTAATAACAAAGGAACCCATTAAGTGGACAACTCCGCATGCATTTCTGTATTAACTTTATCTTGGACAAGTAAATCACACATCTCATGTTCAACCCAAACACTGTCAGAGGTTCTGATTTTTGAACTCTTACACCAGCATCTTTTAAACTTTTTTTTAACACATACTGTAAAAAACCGGTGGCTCAGTTGGTAGAGCTGATGCCTCTCAGCAAGAAGGTCACTGGATCAAATCCCAGCCTGGGGACCTTTAAAGTTTGCATGTTCTCTCCGTGCATGCGTGGGTTGTCTCTGTGTGCTCCGGCTTCCTCCCACACACCAAAAACATGACTGTTAGGTTACTTGAATTGTCCCTAGGTGTGAGTGAGAGTGAATGGTTGTTTGTCTCTATGTGTGGCCCTGTGATGGACTTGCGACCTGTCCAGGGTGTACCCCGCCCCTCCCACTGTGACTGCTGGATATGGGCACCAGTGACCCCCGCGACTCTGAAAAGAAGAAGCGGGTATAGATAATGGATGTATAAAACCGGACTTTCATTTTTACTAAAGAAAACTGAAATGCTGAGTTTGAGCACAGAACACCTGACTATGCCTTTCTGTCCATCTACGATGAGACAATACCTGGAGCTTTTTGTGCTGAGTCTATAAATGTTGTCCTTTTAGACACAGTTTTGACACCTTCACCTGTCTCAAATTCGTCTGCTCATTGTGGAAAATTCAAGGATGACATTGCTTATATCATGGAAACTTTAAACGCTTCATTTTGTCCTGTCTGCAAATTCTTTGAAAGTTTTTGCTGGTAACTTGGGATCATATTTTGGATAATTATTTTTTTTTGTTACATTGGATGCTAGTTTTATTTAAAAAAATACAATCTATTGACACAGATTCAAATGGATGACTAAACTACAACCAGAGGTTTGAATAGGCAAATTTGACTCTCCTGCTAGAGGAGTCAAATGTTGAGAGTTCAGTTCAGTGCTGTGCTCAGGACTAAGGAAGAAATAACTTGAAAGAATTCTTAAGCTGCACATTTAGCTGTTTTCGTTACAGTAGTTGTGCTTTGGCATGCTACAGCTTTGACTCTGAACAGAATCAAGTGAGTGCAGAAACTGTATAAATGGATATTTCTTTACTGCAATGACCTTTGAATTCTGACGGGAAAACATCAAGTAGATTAATAATGTATTGGTAGTGATTGAGCCAGCCTCCACCTAAGAGCTGGTCTTCTTTCGTTCTCCCTTTTGTTTATAATGTGTGTATATTTTGTACCCACAATATACAGTGGGATAAGACATTAGCCACACTGCTCAGCAATGACTTTCCCTGAGTTTAAACATCATGCAGCCAGTGACAAACCATTTGTTACTCATAAGTGGACACATGCCGAAACAAGTGTGGCAATGCTGAAGCAAAACCAACATTTTTTTAAACCCCTTCACTTATACAAAGCTTCTGTGCTTAATTAGTTGTACTAATAATTATTTATTATAATAATACAGACAAATTATGCAAACAGATTGAACAGCATGCCAAAAAAGCTATTAATTTTTCAAATGTCATATTTATATATGATTTAAAATATATTTCTGCATATAACCTCCTGAGAACCTCCAACTTATTGTTCAGGACATTGGTTTTAGACTGGTAGTCCTTACTCAGAGGGACTAGATTTTAAGTTTTATGT